AGTGCGGACACTTTTTAGCGCGGACCCGACGTCCATATAATTGTAAGCCAATGATGTATGTTACAGAATTGCTCCGGCATTTGTGAGCCAATTTCGATGATTCTTTTTTTGTTGAAAAGAGGGTACCTCAGTATTAGTCTCATTAAAATTTAAAGAAAATTTTCTACCTCTAAGGGTGGCAAACTAATTTATTTATTTAAACTTAATTGCACACAAAACAGTACGAATGGAGTACTTAATGCCATTAGGCGTTCTCTACCAGTTAACCGGAGAGCTGAGTTCAAAATAATTAACAAGGTTGCATAACACGATAAATAAAACAGATAGGAAGAAATTTATAAATAATTATGATATATAGTTTAAACACAATATAAATATGACACATAATATTATACGACCAACTATATACTTATATAAGCAACCTATATACACATAAATACATACATATTTATATATACCAATGTCAGACTAATGGGATGTAGATTGAGAATCCAAATGGATTAATTGATAAATCCGGTTTCGCGCACTTTCCGGTAACCGATTCCAATAAAACTTGACAAATAAATGGAATTTCATGAACTTTTGAGGCCGGTTTTTTAGCACTCTGTACTGAGGTTACATAATTTCATCATCACGTGCGTACAAGTCAGCTTCTATATAACTTGTGTTTTCACAAATAAATGATTTATTACCATTATTATTATATCTATTTTAGACTATCGCCTCTCCCAAGGCTTAAAAGATTTTGAATTTTTAAATGACAGAGGCGGTATTTCCCGGCAATGGCACAGTCGGCCGGGGTCAGGGACTCAGGTTCAAGAACCGACGAACAATACGTGCCGTACCAGGCGGGACGGCCTTCTGCATTTGTGCTAGAAGCGACACACCACAGAAATCCAACCGCCTCAAGCTGCTAGCAAGGCTGAATGGAATTACCTCATTTGTGGAATTATTTCAGTGGAGGCCACATCCCACATGTCGGTGATTTCGTGCGTCAGGTCGAGATATTTCCGGCGTTTTTCGGTTTCGGCTTTCACGAGACCCTCGTCATGCGGGGTGGTAACGTCCACAAGGAATACCCTCGACTGCGATCGATCCAATATCACAATATCAGGCTTATTCGCAAGAATAGCTAATAGATTTTGATTAGAATTGAATACATTTACTATTTTATTATTATTATTTAAACTGAATGTCACAATGTTTTACTATCACGGTATTAAATTGTTTTTGTATCTACACACATACCATAAGCCCTCAATGATGTGTCCAAAAAACGCAAATTACGACCAGCATAAAGATAAACTGTTTTGATAGAACAAATTTCTTATCTGTGAAAATGTTATTATTGCTTCATAAGAACATCGAATTCGATGTTATTATTACATTTAAATTTCGAACATCTGTGAAAAAAAAACATTTTGATTGAACCTCAATTCTAATATCAGTCGAGATGAAGTTTTATTCGAAATGAAATGCCAATAGCATTGACTTACAAATAAATGGACGACGGGTCTAATACAAAAACCACGAAAAAAAATGTCCCAAGTCAACCTATTCGAAATTTAAATTGTAATGTCATCGCAGTATCGCGCTGTCAGTAGAACAAATGAAGACTAAAGCGGAGTGTCGCGCTCTGTATACGATTTTAGCGCCTTACAAGTGCGGACACTTTTTAGCGCGGACCCGACGTCCATATAATTGTAAGTCAATGGCCAATAGCTAACAATTTGACAAATCTCACACGTTACTTGATATCGAACGATATGATAGTTGGGGCCGACTTTAGTTTGTCTATGAACTAAAATATTTGCAGCTATTTAGTTTGTTTAGTTGTTTATATTACAAACACTTTCGTGGAAAATGAACTATCAATAATGATCAAGATATTTCGGAGACGCCACCTGATATCCGTGACAGAGCAACGAACGTTATAAATGACTTATTACCAGCAAAGTTAACTTCACTATAATACTTTGTCATAATTATTAATTACAAAGATCAAACACTAAGAAAAATTCCTTAGATCCGGCTCGATTGGTACCAACGCCTTCAAGCAATCTGTGTTAGACGCTCTATATAACAATAAAAATTCAAAATTAATCTTTTAGGCCTATAATATTCAAAATTGATCGTGATAGTGACAGTGACAGTGACAGTGACAGTGGCAGTGACAGTGACAGTGACAGTGACAGTGACAGTGATAGTGATGATAATAATAATAATTCATGCAGATGGAAGAGGACGAAGTATTTATTATTTATTTATTTATTTATTTACTTACAGCTTTACAACTACCATTACAGTAATAAACACCAATGCGGCAGTGTACATATTCAAACGTATATACTTATACGTATAATAACTACATTACACTAAACATATACTAAAACAAAGAAACCACAAATATCAACTTAATACATTACAAATAACATATAACATACAGGGTCATTCTTGTAAATTCACACAGAGTGCATGAGAACAAGTCTATCCTGTCTGCAACATCATTCAGGATTCGCAGTAGGATCTTATTACACACCCATCCCACACTCGTAGATACACGCCATACGGCATTTACTTGACTTCGGCCCGTAAATGTGGTTCAAACCAGCTTACAAGCTGAGAAGAATAAAGCAAATAATAATAATAAAAAGATTTATTGCCTCAATAACGATACAAAAACATGTACAAAAGTCTGATATAGAGGTCTGAGGCAATGGCGTAGCTTTTTATTGGCTCAGCCCCGTAAGCCTCGTTCAATACAGGCGTTCAGCCATTTCCCGTCTCCCTAAGTAAGCTACGGAACGAACCAGCAGATCTTACGAATTTTTCTGTGCTTGCTGTAGATCTTCATTTTTGGGTTTTAACGATTTTATCTGTGAGAAATCTATGAAAGCTTTTCTTCATTCAACCAGCTGCCTTTCTACGCTTCGAGCGAAGATTATAAGAGCGGTTACACACGGCGAATTCCTGCAGCGATGCAAATGCGAATTTCACACTCGCGAAAATGTGTACTGCTTACATAGCCTTAAACTCTAGCGAAAACTGAAATAAGTAAGCAAATTACACTTGAAATCATCGTACTGATTAAACTCTAATGCTCATACGTAAGGCAGATTCCCCTGAGAAGAATGAGCAAGAAACTCCAGAGGTTGCTCTTTGTGAATATACATTTGAATACATTTATCATTTTATTTCAAACATCATAGATCGAAATTACGAGCAAGAGCTAAACGGGTCATGACCACGTATTTTCGTTATCCAAGTACGCAGAAGCTGTTAACATTTAGAGAGTAGAAATTAAAATGACTTTGAGGTAGTAGTACCTCATTTGCAAAATTAAGCCGTGCAATGTCCTACTTCAAACGAGGTGAGGTAGTGGTAAGAATGTTTGCACCTATAGCAATGACTCAACAGACAGGGAATATTAAGCATATTTTCGTAATTTGATAGTATCAATCAATTAGATGACTTAAGTGTTATGATATAGTATAAATAAATACCAATTTTATTTAGTACTATGATAGCAAGATCACGTGACGTAAAATCGGCTAAAAAACGGGTAGTGCAGGACCAATCATTGTTGCATTTGTTGAATTCGAAGCAGTGTGACATGAGTGAGGCTGTGATATGAGGTTATGACATGAGGTGAGGTGACAAACAAACCAAGCGAGTGGTGCAAACGAGTTGCCTCGTGTGTGAGTAACTCAACACTATTGCACGGTGTACGAATGAGAAGGAAGTAACTCTTTTTAAGGCTTACTGCCAGACACTGTACGCAGAAATCCTTCAATGCCCTGAAGGTCAAGTATAATAACACCTTCAGAATGCTATTGTGGCTGCCCCCGTTCTGCGGAGGCGCGTACTGATGGTTTTGATGCTCACGGTCGACGAAACGCATTTCGTCGACCGTGAGCAGGATGTGTGGCAGCGGGAACAGTCTTCTGAACACCATATCGTAGGATGTAGTGTGTCCGATATTATGCCATTGGAAGACCACCAAGAAAGGCTGGTGATATGAATTCTAATTCCGCATACCTATTGTTAATTTCTATTATTTATTTTTAAGTATTTCTATTTTAAGTATTTTCTATTTTTTTAAGGTTATTTTACTAACATAGTCCTAAGTTTTCAATTGTTACTAACATAGTGGATCAATGATCGTAAACAAATAAATTATTATTATCATAATTTTTAAGTGCGTATGCTCTGAATGTACTTCACAAGGTTACACGTAATACTTATCATATTTGTTTGATAATACATGATATCTTTATCGTTATATCAATCTATATCTCGTTTCGGGGAAGTAATATATTGATAATACAGTGTGTCACAATTCAGTGCGTTCAGTAAAAATATTGGGTACAAAGTCCACTAATTTTAAGAGTCTATACAACCTCAAATGGCTTTGATTGATTCCACATGACACACTGAAATTGTTGAATCAATCAATTTGGAAAAAATATAAATAGTAAATAAATTTGAACTGAATGGATATTTAATTATTTTTTGTGAATTTAGATAGATATATAGATAAAATCTTTATTCACCACCATGACAAATACATACACAGATACATGATACAGATATTAACTTAGACGTAACACAGTAATATATTCTACTAGTATCCTAGTTTAAATTTCACCATCCCATTTAAAATAATCGACTTTGGACAAAAAAACTGTCACTTCGCCGCCGAATGTTTCCAACGAATATTTGTCGTTCTTCTTCGCGTATTACGTCACCTTCGCTTATCATACACAATTTTCACGCACTGCACACAAAACAACACGATTTATCAACTTTTCTTTAAATTAGCGAATAAAAATTAAATAACATTTACGGAGCAACGTTTGTCAATTACGCAGTGGCGCCCTCTCTCTTTTTTCTCCACTACTTTGTTATAATTATTAATACGAAGATGGAACACTTCGAAAAAATTCCCTCGATCCGACCGGATTCGAACCGACAACGTCTTTTTGCAAGCTGTGCCAGACGCTATGCCAACTAAACCACGGAACGAACCAGCGGACCTCACGGACTTCTCTATGAGCTTGTTATCGGATCTTTGTATTTGGTTTCCAACGACTTGTTAGTCGTAGCGCCATCTATGAGAAATGTAACAAAGTATTTCGTCATCCAGTAGGTAACTTTACAGCTACCAGCCCTGGCTAGAGATGTCTCTATTAACTGTAATTAAATTTGTATATATAGTAAAATTGAGGATATATACTGATTAGTGTGATACGGTGTGAAAACACAATTCCTAAAAATTTTCACGATAGCAAAAAAACAATCTTGCCTTGAAATTTTACAAAAAAAAACCGCTATATTCATTTTATACTTCACTAAACCAATGATTTCTTTAATATCAACTAACTAAATGTAACACGTATACTATACGATATACATTTTTCAAATATCTGTAATTTTCTTTGTAAAAAAATTATTTCTGAAAGAAAGCCAGTGTCCCTGCCACTTGACCCAAGCAAAACGAACCGTATTAGTACGGGAAATTTATGAACTCGAACTGAGGTAGTCGTCGACTCGCAAATTATCTCAGTGTCGATAGAGCGCAGGATTTTGTACGTTTGGTATTCTTATAAAAGTTAAGAGCAGTGGCTGCCATCGAGTTTACTATTCAACTGCCTCCGTGGCCGAAAGGTTGCCATGCTGATCTGCCACGCAGAGGTCTCGGGTTCTATTCCCGGGCCGGGAGGAATACGGTACGGTCTACATTTATTTCTCACGTGAGTTTGGGTGTAATTTGTGACTGAATTGGTATTATATAGTCAAATAAAAATAAATAATAATTAGTAGGCTACGCCATTGACATGCTACTGCAAAGCAGAATACCAAAAAATTGCAATGGCAGTTTTTTTTCTAACACGTAGTACCGCCACCTTACCTGTTTCTGCCTCCAAGCAGTAATGTCAGCATTACTGTGTTCGGGTTTTGAAGGGTACTGGTGAAATTACAGGCACTTGGGACTTGACAACTTATGTCTCAGAGTGACGGGCGCAGTGGCAGTGCCCCTCAGATCTTAGCGATTTAAAGCTTTGAGTGGCACTGCAACTGTCATGGACAGGCGTGTAGCTTACCATCAGGCGCACGACTTGTACGTCCCGTCATTTGAAAAAAACCCTGTGTCGCGGGTGCCACGGACACACACATAGACAACTACAAATTACACCCAAACTCACGAAAGACATAAAAGGCCACACAAATATTTCTTCCGGTCCGAGAATCGAACCAGCAACAGTTCGGCCACTGAGGTAGTTTTTTATATTATATTTTATATTTTATATTATAGTTTATTATTTGTATACAATTGGTAGTAAGCTTAACATGTTCATCGCCGTGGTGGGTAAAATATATTTATTTAGGCATATAACATGACTGGCGCGACGTGACGAAGTTCTATAGCCACTTGGTTTTTAGGGGTTTTGATACTTTTTTAGATTTAGAGAAAAATAATACATATTTCTAATAAAAAAAAATGGTTTTGATTTCAAATTTAATTTAAAAGTTACAAACTAAGCAAAATGAAATGTTTAATGTGAAATGTCAGTCTTAAATGGAAGACTTATGTCGGTTTTAGGTAAACATCGATCGAACATTACGAGTACATACTCTGCCCGACATTGTGACCGGCGCGATCTTAACGTAATAATTAAATATTGCGTTTGGGCCGCACCGGGTTTAAATGTCCGGCATTAAAATAAAAATAATCACAAAATAGAACTAAATGATAAAATATCGCGAAAAAACGTATGCACATGAGACCAAAAACAGTTTCTTTTGTGCTGGTGATTAGTGTATGGCGATCATACGCAGTTATGACTATATTCTCTCCTAGCTTTTGTGATTTTATTTTTATTTTTAATATTAATGCTAATCTTATCTTGATTATAAAATTATCTTTCAATGTTTTTGTTTTTTTTGTTGGTAGGTACTGAAGTTGACTGTTTTTTGTTGTTATAAAAACTAGAACTATACTGGATTTTGTACGACATTTATGAATGTACCAAAATTAAATGTAAACTGCCTCTCTTTGTGTTCTACTATTAATACTTTATAAGTTTATTGCAATATACTCAGTTATTGTAATAGACTAAAGTAAAATCTGATCAATTATTAAACGTCCTGGAACAGTCGTTATTTATGATGTTAGTAACATAATAATAATAATAATAATATCTTTATTAACACTTTTGCCTTATAATTAGTACAGAGCAGCAATTTTATTATTTATTTAACAAAATATTGGTATAGATATAACGTAGCACAAAATATAAAATAAGGCGTACCAAATTTAGAGATTCTGTCTCCTAAACTACTCAAAGACTGTATCTTAGGACGCAGTGTTCAGTTAGGGTTAACTTTTACATAAAATCAAAACTTCTATTGAATCCAATCATTATAAAGTATATAAATATAAGTGAGTCTGTACGGTTATGGTTTACAACTATAATGATAGGCATGCGTGTTAGAAAAAAAAAAGAAAAAAAATGAGATTTTATAATTTCTAAAAGGGTAATTCTAATGAAGAAGTAAGAAGTATAAAATAGTCTTGAGAGGTTGTTGGTATTTTACACACAACCCTGTAAAGCTTCAACCCTCTCTTTAGAGGAGACGTATATCCAGTAGTGGCACGTATAATTGGTGTAAATGATAATGATTACTTAAGAATATTTTATGCAGGTCAAAATATTTCATTTCATTCATATGCATTATTTTTTTACAAAAATGAACACTATAAGCCTTTTTATTCTTTCGTACATTTGCACCAAATGCACTGCACAGTGCCGCAGTGTTATCATGTTATTATAAGTAGAGCAGGTAAGAATATTATTGATAGCAACTACCTGGTATCATTATCGCTGAAATCTCATGCACGAACCGATACCTTTCAATTATCTGGCCATGAAATAGTTCATAAATAAATATGTCTATAAATAAATGACTCTTGTGATTAACTGAAAGTCGGAGACTATACTACGTATATTCTCTAGGATATCTATAAAAGGATGTATATTTAACAGATTCATTATTCATTTATTTGTGAAAACACAGGTACAATAATAATAAATTAAAATAAATACAATAATAATAATAAAAGATTAAATACAGGAAACTAAACCTACGATTAAATTGTTACGAATAAAATTGGGTTCCCGCGGGAAGGTGCCCAAGATGCTGGCAGCGTTCTCCCTTTGTATGGCTATGCTAATGCGTTAAGCAAGGTAGGTGCCTGCCCTTGGGTTTCCCACACAGTCTAAGTAAATGCCACGGGCTAAGTGTTTTGACTCCAAAGGCTGTAGATTTGAGATTTAAGTCTTATAGTAAGTCTCCATTAGATGGGCTATGGATGAAATACGCCAACCTTGCCCAGTGCTACAGCTTTGTGCCTTTAGTGGTTGAAAGAGAGTTCCTGGGTGCCACAAGCGAAACTTTTAGCGAACAAGCTATCAAATCGCTTCGTAGAAGACTCCGGTGACCATAAACCTGGCAGTTATTTTTGCCGAAGAATAACTATATTATTCTTTGGCGAAAATAACTATTTAAAGGGGAAATGTTGCCAGTCTTCTGGGCACGAATCCCAGGGTGCAGCTCTTGTACTTTGTGACCCAGTGTTTTTGATAACGTGTATTAAAGATACCTATCAATACTTATGATTCGTTATCAAAGCATTAAAAAAGCTAATTGATTACAGTCTGTAGAAGCTGGGGTTATAAAATTGATATAGGTTATGTTTATAACATTATCCTGTATCTCACTATGTTTATTCGTAACAACAAATTTTCAGTTTGTTTCCAAAAATAATTAAGAACTTATTGAATATTCCCAAATCTGCCAAACCCTGCCACATTTAATAAAATGTTAACATGTTCTGTCGCAATGAAAATGAATAAAAATTAAATCTGCCAAAATGGCAGAAATCTGCCACAA